ACTGGAAATCAAATAGATCATCACAGGTTCATCGTCACGGTCATACTATTGCTGTGGACCAACAGGCAGGGTGGCAGTCCTTGCCACAGGACCTCCAAGTCACTCAGGTAAGACTCGCTTGTCTCTTCGCTTTCCGCGGTACCCTCAGACGGGGAAGGCAAGGTCGTGAAGATGACGGCCGTCTGACTGCTTTGCCTGGCCATCAGTTCGTTAAGGATCAGGTGCTGCGCACGACTGGGAAGATCGTCAAATGACAGAGGAACAGACGCCTGGTTGGGATATCCCGAAGCACTTCTGGCCCCGGAGGAGGAACGTCGCCTGTAGATTGATTCCAACCGTTTCTGGAAGCGAGGAGGCGATGAGCTTGGCGCAAACATGATGGACGGGCCCGCGTTTTCCTCTGTGCTGACTCTTGCTTCAGGTATGGGCGAGGAGGAGAATCGGATGCTAGATGGTGAGCGGCTGATGGGTGGCCGGATAAGCCCAACTTTGCTCTTGGGAGATGCCTCTTCGTCCGTAGTGATGATGGATGGAATATCCTGCCTGACTGTAATCTCCTGAGGGGACATCTGATCCGGCTTAGGCGAAGTCGCAGCTTCATGACTTTGTGAGTTATGATCATCAGTCGCTGGGGATCCCTCTTCTCCGTCGTCGGCGTCGTCACTAGCGTACGGCTCAAATTCGCTATCACTACTACTCTCGCTTGCACTGCTGTCGTAATGAACGAGTGAATCAAGCAGGCGATGCGTCTTCATGCCTAGACTGACCCCTCCGAGCCCTTTAAAACTCGATATAGATCGCCGCCGCCGGGACTGGATAAATTTCCTCAGTCCGCCAGCCATTTGACTCTGCGACCTTGTCATTTCGTGGCCCGATGCCCCACTCCAGCTGGACATTCTTTCTGGTAGGCTCGCGAGGCTTAATTGGCCCGATGTGTCCGGGGAATCTTCCGAGTTATTGCGGAACTGCCGCAGCTCCTGCCACCAGTCTTCATGCTCCAGCACAGCGTGGACATGGTCCTGGGCTTCCTTGGTATCCGGGCTCATGTCACCGTTGACAATGATGCGATACGCTTTCAAGTCGCCACATGCAAGCCAGAAGACTAGGACTTCCGCCTCGATTCGAAGTTTCTCAAGGAGAGCTTCAACCCTTCGGCGCTCGTCTTCAACGTCGGTCTCGTATTCCACAAATACCGCCACCCGAAGCTTATACGTCTTCTTCCACGAGGGGACCGTGTTTAGAATGCATCCTAGCTGAAGGATGAGGGTGTAAGTATCAAAGTTAGTCGTGAGGACATTTTGTTTGCTTTCGTTGTCTGCGCCAAGCTCGGCCGACATCTGAATAGGCCACAGATCGATATACTTCTTCGTATGCTGTCCATCCGGGCTTGGAAGCTCGAGATCTTCGAATCCTTTTGCCACGGCAACATTAATACGGAGCTTGAAGAGAAGATCCTCGAGTATAGTCACATAGCTTCTGCAGCTCATAGAAAGGCCATGCGCCTCATTCTCAGATGACTCGCCATGCGTCTCGTGAGAGTTGCGTTTGCTATTCGTAGAGTCTTTTCTGTGACCGGGAAGCTGCAAGACTTCAGCAAGCGATTGACCTTTCCGAAACTGATCAATAACCACGATGTTGGGCCTCATCCCTCCAAGTCCAGAATTCAGAACGACATTTCTGACGCCCCACTCAACACTTGGAGCCACGGCAATGTTGACAAAGGCCTTGACTCGAGAGTACTCAACTAACTTTGTCCATGCACTTTGCTGACGACGAGCTTCTGGCACTGCGGCAGAGAAGTCATCCGTCACGAGCACGTGGCCCAGCACAAACAACGCTCCTTTCTTCAGTGAGTTGCAAAAAGAGACCATCTTGTACTGTTCATCAAGATTGGTCACGAAAAGCAGAATTTGAGGCCGCCAGAATTTGACATGTTCCTGACGAAGGCGAAGCAAATACTTGCGGACCTGGTGGTAGATCAGGCTTTGGCTAACATCTCCCCACGACTTTGGAGGCGAGGAGTAATGAATCAGCAAGAACAGCACAATGAGAATGACAACACAGCCGGTGGCATAGAGACCATCCACAAAGAACATGCTGGCACCGCACACCAAAGTTCCGGCTGCCGCAGTCTGCCAGTTGAAGTAGTGGAAAGACGGTCGAAAATTGGGCGCGGAGCCGATCTTCAGAAGAAAGCACGCTAAGTTCATGACCAAAAATGTCATCAGGTACGTCATGGTAACAAAGGATGCGATCTGGTTGATATCGAAAAGCATTGTAAGCTGTGCAAATACAAAAGTCAAAATAATAGCATATACCGGGTCGTCGCTCTTCTTGCTGCCTTTGCCGAAAAGACTCAGCCCAGGAAGAAGGCTGTCGCGCGCAATGGCCTGGAGGAGTTTCGCAGAACCGATGACTCCCATCAAGGAGGAGAAGAACGACGTTGCAAACTCCCCCAGCAGGATAACGACACCGGAAACATTGACCAGCTGGAGGACGCTGGTATTTTTGTAGAACGACTCTCTGGTTATTGAGGCAGCCATTGCCAGGATCACAAGCGTGTAAGTGACAAAGGTCAGTGCCAGTCCATGAAGCGTCCCCTTGGGTATCGATTTGCTAGGATTCTTCAAGTCACCCGACATGCTGGCACCTGCAAATATTCCGCCTGTAGCAGGGAACAAGATTCCGAAGAGGTCCTGGAAATTTTCTCGTCCATGGATTTGGCTACCAGCGGCACCCTTGGTGAGCCTAGGCTTCAGGTTCTCCAACAATGTCTGCAGCCGAATGCCAGTGAATTCAATGTTCAACTTGGGATTACTGAAAGGTTTCATGGCAATCACGGAAACTGGGATGCTGAATGTCGCCACCAGTAGAATGACTAGCAGTCCGTTACTAGCCCTCGCGAACATGGAGCTCCCGGCCAAGCATATTGCAGTGCATAGAACCAAGACGACAGTTCCCCATAGATACTGCCACCAGAATCCTTCTTCAAGGAAGTTGGCCCAGTTGCCCGATTCCGTGCCAAAATTCTGAGTGAAACAGTCAACGAGACCGACAGCATTCATGCCAGTATTCAGGACATAGCCTAGGTAGAATACGATTCCAATCGAGCCACCAAATTCAGGTCCTAGTGATCGGGAAATCAGATAATATGCGCCGCCTCCTCTTACGGTGCCGTTCGTTGCGATGGCGGAGAGAGACATTGTCGTTACCAGGTTAATTGTATAAGAAGCAACAAGGAGTCCTGCGTCCGTTAGCAGTCTTTCTAAATGGAGGAAGTTGTCCAAGACAGCATATACCGACCTAGCATCCCAAGTAAGCCGGCCTGCCCGAGGACGAACCCAAACCGAAGGAACATCAGGATACTGAGGACATTCAGCGTTGTCGGTACAAAGACTCCAGAAAATGTCCCAAGCTTATGTGCAGTCTCCGACGCACGGTGTGCTGATGCGTTTTTTTCCTTCTTATCAGGACTCGAGTCTCTCCGCGGCCCTGCAGAGAGGGAGACATTGGCTGCCACATTGTCCGCCCCGGGATCCTGGCTGCCACTGTCTCGGCGGTGCCACCAACGAGAGAGACTGCTGAAAAGACCGGTCAGTTGCGGATGACGCTGATTATCTGACCTTCGCGAAGAGGCATTCAGCGGCTCATAGGGACGGGACGAGAGAATAGTCCTCCAATCGAGGAGTCTGCTGTTCGCCTCAGGAGATGCCTGGGCTGGGTCGTTTGGATCCAACCTGGATACATCTTCTTCAGCAGTTCGTGTGGAAAAGTTCGGCCTTCGTCTGGACATCGACCCCAATTTGCTTTTGTTTGGTCCGTCGTTCTTCAAAGACACAACCCTACACCTTATCGCAGTGGGGTCCCCACCCCTTCAATAGCACACTGGTCGTAGCCGAGGATCGCAACAGAAGGGTGTATCAACAATGAAGCCTTACGCGAAGATGAAATGGCAGCATATTATTATTATAATGCGTTCTACTTCATGAAAAGCATTGGTGCGTTCAACGATTCGAAAATTCGGCAAAATCGAGCTCAGAATGAAGCAATTGACTTGGCATCGCTGCAAACTGCAATGCTTGGAAGATCGGCAATGACCTCACGCAGGGAAGAAGACAAACAGTGCAAATTCCTCGTTAGTCACCAAGCACACTCCCATGCGTCCTCCTTCCGTTGGCTGTGTTATACTCATCTACCTCTCTATAAATGAGAATGAAGGATGGATACCACTACCACTCTTCATTGATATAGCCATCAAGATATCTTTATACAAACAAGACATCGCTTCGGTGGAAAATACAGCCGGCGGAAAATACAACCGCTGCAGAATACACCCAATTTTTACACCCAAGTCGCGTTCCCTCGTCAGCGCTGGCTCACTGCTTGTGAATAGGCCGAGGCTCTATACTGAGTGTGCCGGTCCCACTCAACCTCTCAACTTCTTATCTTCCCATCTTCAGCTTGCTTATTCCATTGCGAAAATGGCGTCGTCGGGGAGAACAGACAATGGGGAGGGACCATCATATCAACCAAATCGCTCTACTCCTATGTCAACTCCAGCTAAGCGTTCGGAATCTCCTTCAGCAGACATTGGGTCAAGACATGCCTCTATTGCACGACTAGCTTCGCCAGTCCCTTCAGTTTCAACCTCATATTCATCCAGACAAGTACCTATACCAAACCAGTCTACGACAGGTAACGGACAGGAACTCGGCCGGGTGGATAATCCAGCCTCGCTACCAGGCCCAGGACAGTCTATGATCGCATCTGCGCTTCAGGAAAGTCTTGGTCGCTCACCTCCGAGACTTGGAACTCCACCGAGACGAACCGACTCTCCCGCCTTACTGAATCAGCCAGTGAGGTCAAATTATGGTTCATTCGACAATAAAATAGGAAGGGAAGGCTCCATATATTCAAATGCGCCATATGAGGATCCTGAGGTCGTGAAGAGACACCTCGTGCAACCGCAGAATGCTCTCGAATCCAATAACTTCAGGGACATGGCAAGCAACGCCGACGATGAATTCTCTAGCTTGCAATTGCAGGGAGGAGACATTACAAGACAGGTTTATAGGTGGGCTGAGGATGCCGAAGCCGGGAATTCTGTACGAAGACATCTACGAAGTAAGAGTTTCAGTCTCAGTAGACCTACGCCGGAGGAGGAAACCATGGACATCAATACCATCCGGGTGCCAGGAGGTTTCAGAAGAGACTTCATACGAAGGACTGCAGGCAGTCCTCATCCTGGAAGTACCGACGGCCGCGCAAAAGCGTCAGCGACTCATCATCAGCTCCATACCAGCAGCTTCCTGGAGTTTCTCACCCTCTACGGTCACTTCGCGGGAGAAGAGCTAGAAGAGGACGACGAGGTTCTAGGGCCCGATGAGTATTTCTCCTCAGAACCCTGGGACGAAGCAGAAGAGAGAGAACCAGGGGAAGACTCGGCTTTGCTCCGACCAGAAACTCCTGGCCGAAGGAAGCGTAAACCAAAACCGCGCGGTGGAACGGGAACCAACACAAGGACAGGAGCTGCTCTACTTCTACTCAAATCGTTTGTCGGCACGGGTGTTCTCTTCTTGCCAAGGGCTTTCCTGAATGGTGGGATGTTATTCAGCAGTTTGGTTTTGCTTGCTGTATCCATACTCAGCTTCTATTGCTTCATTCTTCTGGTCAACACCCGCTTGAAGATCGAAGGCTCCTTCGGTGACATTGGTGGTGCTCTCTTTGGAAAACATATGCGCCGGATCATCCTCGGATCTATTGTTCTCAGTCAACTGGGATTTGTCTCGGCATACATCGTCTTCACTGCTGAGAACCTCCAGGCCTTCGTCCTGGCTGTCAGCAAATGCAAGTCGTTCATCGACATCAAGTTCATGGTGCTGATACAATTGGTCATATTTCTGCCTCTCTCGCTAATTCGTGACATTGGGAAGTTGGGTTTCACCGCACTTGTGGCAGATGTGTTTATTCTACTGGGGCTCATTTATCTCTATTACTACGACGTTGCCACTATCGTTTCGCAAGGTGGCGTTTCGGATATCAAGTCATTCAACCCATCCACATGGACTCTTTTCATTGGCACTGCCATTTTCACCTACGAAGGGATTGGTTTGATTATCCCAATTCAGGAGTCAATGAAAGAACCACGTCGGTTCCCAGGCGTCCTTGCCGGTGTCATGGTCCTCATTACCATTGTCTTCCTCTCTGCTGGTGCTCTCAGCTATGCAGCTTATGGCTCCGCGACGCAAACTGTGGTCATTCTCAATCTTCCTCAGGATGATAAATTCGTGAATGCGGTCCAATTTCTGTATTCTCTAGCAATCCTGCTGAGCACCCCCCTACAACTATTCCCTGCCATTCGAATCATGGAAAATGAACTTTTCACTCGCAGTGGCAAGTATAACCCCGGGATCAAGTGGAAGAAAAACTGCTTCCGTTTCTTTCTGGTCATGATTTGCGCGTTTGTTGCCTGGGGCGGAGCGGATGACCTCGACAAATTTGTCTCGCTCGTCGGCAGCTTCGCCTGTGTTCCTTTGATTTACGTATACCCGGTATGTCTCTAGCAACTAGGACTCCTGAAGCTTTGTCTAAAGTTACTGACTCTTGCTCCAACAGCCACTCCTTCATCTCAGAGCTTGTGCGCAATCAAGACGCCAGCAGATCGCCGATATCGCTCTTTCCTGCTTTGGAGTCATTTCCTGCATATATACTACCTCATTGACACTCCACAACTGGGTGAACTCTGACAACACCAAGCCTCCAGGATACTGCGATTCGTGATTCGCATATCGATACAAGTTTCTATTGCGACTGTTCTTTTGGTGTACGAGACCTTTTGTAGATATGAGACGACGATCCACTGCTGTTTGGCACTTTGATTAGAGAGCAAGCGATTCATATCATTCCTCCGTCATTATAGTCCTTGGTCATGTTCAAGCAAGCCTGCATATGCACTTCTGCCATGTGTGTCAATAGTTAGATCATTATGTCACTACAGTCTAGCAGCATTGCATATAGGTTGCTAGTAACAAGCGAGATATTAGACCAATCGATGTGCTCAGACTCACATTCGACAGGCACTGCTAAAAATCTCCTGCGATCAAGCTCTCAGCGAGTCACGCTGCCGAGACTATCAAAAACAGCCAAGTAGTGGCAGTGCAAAGCATTCATTTCTGCAAGAAAGACTATGTACAGCCTCCAGGAGTACCCGACCATCTCATCTATTTAGCACAGTTTATCAGAGCTGAAAAAGCTGTTCTCTGGGTAGAAGCCGTCGGGTAATCCTCGAACGAGTCGACACTCGAAATCCATTTTTGCATTCGCCTGGAGTAGGTCTAAGTACTGCTGAGAAAGAGGGAGATTATATAGGGACGGCATCCACCCGGGAGAAACCAAGAAACACGCGAATAAAACGGGGGAATCACATCGTTTATGCGCCGGCTTCGGTGACTTCCTTACCCTGCTTGGCGGCCTCTGCGAGCTTGGCTTCCCGGCCTCCCCAGCTAGATTTGAGAAAGTTGTCAGTCATGCATTCTGTAATTGTGTTGAGAGAAGATTAAGGAACAGGAGGCAGCAGGTTCGAGGAAGGCGAGCAGAGAACATACTTCCAGTAGTTCAGGTACCGGTATCCTTGAGTCATCTGAGCGGAGCAGTTGATGAAATGGCAGGCGAAGAGGAGGTAGTTCTTGGGTGAGACAGCGAGGGCGTAACGCATGAAGGTTGCGGAGTAGACTGTGAGCGCAGCGGTCATCTGTCCGGAGATACTGTTCGAGTATTAGTTGAGCGAGCTGACTCGTATCTGCGCAGGAGATGCAGAGCAGGCGGGAGGTTCAACGAGACATAGTAGCATTCCAGTCTGAGATAGGGGGTTCATTGAAATATGGCCAGGCTCGGAACTGGGTGCGATGACGACGTACATTTCAGGGTCCTTTTGAGTGTCCATCACAGCAGCAATGGGGATACCAAAGTTCGAGGCAGGGCCCCAGAAATCTGCATTGGCAAAGCTTCGTCAGCGATTCTCATGCACATTATCCCGTCAGAACAAAACATCATCCCGAGATCAATTATGAAAGGCATCAGAAACCTGGATGCGCTTTCATGGATACCGTCGCCGCCGTCCAGGGCAGGCCGATCTCGGGCGACAGCGTCGACGTGAGGCATTGTACGTACGTGTTGAGCAGACATAATCCAGAACCTTGTTGGAACGGATCTTAGCATTGATCGCCTTGATTGCAGCGGCCATGTTGAATGAATATTCGATGAGGCAGGGGTAACGGTTCAACGACAAGTATCCAGGCTTGCTAACCAGGCACGATTTGTTACCATTCCCCGACCACGGAATCTCAGCGCGGAGTTAACCGGGTGTCACGTGAGACTTTACTTGATATGACTACAGCTTCAAGCGAAGTTGTTTTAAAGAAACATTTCAGAAGACATATTATGAATTGACTAGTGTATCGGTACTTTAGACATATTTAGCATTACTGCTTATCGATCCTAGACCAACTTCCTGGAGTTGATTCGTTCTTCATCGGGACATTTCCAGCATCCGCACACGCCGCAACGCCGTTTGCCTGGTAGAGATGTGTGCTGTATCTATTTGTCGGATAGACTTGAAATCATGGCGAGTCCTTTTTCCTTTTCCTAGCCTCAAAATCTTGCCGTGCTCAATGGACGGCCGGGATATTGTATGCCATCGTGCCGTTCCGGAAATCAATTAATCATCTACCACCAAAGCCTGGAGGAGGGAAACCCCGGCCCTGACCGGGAGGTTGGAAGCCTGGTGGAGGCTGGAAAGCGCCAGCTGCATCGAACACAGTTAGCAAAGAGTTAGCCCATACTCAGAAGTATTGAGAACTTACGAGGACCACCTTGAGGCGCAAATCCAGGTGGGGGACCGAAGCCAGCTAGGAACAGATGGTTAGTTTCGCGTTTGGAACGGAAAACTCTTCACAAAAGAAAGAACTTACGAGGTCCACCAGGGGGTCCTCCACGGCCAGCAAATCCTGGAGGAGGTGCTCCAGGGAATCCACCGGGTGGGAATCCACCGAAGCCGCCAGGGGGCGGTGGTGGTCCTCCAACGCCAGCAACAGGGCCTCCCAGGCCGACAGGAAGACCTCGTCCAGCGGGCTTGCTTATTCCTGGGCCAGCAGCAAGAGTGGCAGCTGCAGCTGCGCCGGGCGCACCTGTTCCCAGTCGCGCAGAGGGTTCGGCGGGAGGTGGGCCATCAACGGAGCAGGAAACGACGTGAGTACCGCGCACGATTGTGAGACCGAGAGTCCGCTTCTCTTCCGCTTCGACTAAGGGAGCGTTTGACGGTCCAGCAGCGGGCTTGGACTTCCGCTTGACGCGGCGGAATTCTTCTGTGTCTGCGAGTACGAGGTTCATGTGCTATAAGTCAAAAAGCGTTGTCGTTAGCTACATTATATGTGCCGAAAAACGCCTGGCAGAATTCACCTTATCGAAGGCGAGCATTTGTCCCGTCATCTGTCGGCCGTCGGTCAGGGTAATCCTCATCCGATAGTTGATCTGCAAGAATGTTAGACTCGGTGGATGGGGAGCTCTAGAAGAGTCATCGAATCAATGACTTACGAGGTTTTGCTGCAAAAGAACGGAGTGTCAGCTATGAAATACCGCAGAAACATCCTCTTCAACAAGAGAAACGACGAAAAGAACGGCAGGACGAAAACTTACCATCTTGCCCTGCTTGTTGGCGGCCATGTTGGCTGGGCAATGCGCACGAATGCGACTTGGGAATAGAACCAAAGAATGTAGTGAAACAGTAGAAGACGAACTCCTCTACTTGATCATTCACTTTTTTGAGCTAATGCGCCCGTAGATAGGTAATGGTGAATCCAGCTAAAGCAGGCTCTCCGACTCTATCATTCCGCTGGCACGGGAGTCGGAGTCGTGATCGAGACGCGGCTCTGCGCTTAGCGCCAAACGACCATGCCAAGACGCTAAGGGCTCTCGCTTCCCACACCAACCCACACATACACTTTTGCACACTTTTCGAACCTTCGATTCTTCCACTCAACGAGTCGACCAATCTAACGCCAAAAGCAGTCGCCATGGTATGTTGCCAGTTTCCCCTACAAAACCCACTGCAATTGAGGAAGAAGGACAACTTTTTTTTCTAACAACTTATCGTCATGCAGTCGGACGGAAAGGACAAGAGCGCAAACCCCATGCGCGAGCTGCGCATCCAGAAGCTCGTGCTCAACATCAGTGTCGGCGAGTCTGGTGACAGACTTACCCGTGCTGCTAAGGTGCTCGAGCAGCTGAGCGGTCAGACTCCAGTCTACAGTAAGCACGCCCGAATTCGATTTTGAATCCCATTTTTTCGATGCCGTTGGGACGACGAAGAGGGGGGATATGGAAGGAGCAAGAACAACAATCAGAGTCATGGGAACAGTATGGCTGATGGGACACCTCTTTTCCAAACTATAGGCAAGGCTCGCTACACTGTCCGTACCTTCGGTATCCGCCGTAACGAAAAGATTGCCGTCCACGTTACCGTCCGTGGCCCCAAGGCCGAGGAGATCCTCGAGCGTGGCCTCAAGGTCAAGGAATACGAGCTGAGAAAGAAGAACTTCTCCGAGACCGGCAACTTCGGCTTCGGTATCAGCGAGCACATCGATCTCGGTATCAAGTACGACCCTGGTATCGGTATCTACGGTATGGACTTCTACTGCTGCATGTGAGTGGCCCTCGGTTCTAGTTTTGGCTTCCCCCTGGACTGCCAGTCAAGTCCATGGCTGACAGTGTCTTTTTTAGGACTCGCCCTGGTGAGCGTGTTGCCAAGCGCCGCCGCTGCAAGTCTCGCATTGGTACCAACCACAAGATCACCCAGGCTGAGACCATCAAGTGGTTCAAGAACCGCTTCGACGGCATTGTCCGGTAAATATTCCGTCCATGGGTCTGCAGAGGGGCGGCTTTGGGGCTGTGTGTTTTATGATGAATCGATAAAAAAGGCGGGCGTTTCTCTACATTGCCGCTCTGCTCTGAAATGCTTCTTTCTACCACGGCATATGGATAGGCGTGCTAGGAATATCAATCCACAATTTCAAAAAACGCATCCACTTTTCACAATGAAGGCTTCACAAAGGGTGATGTTTTCCGCATAACCATTGTTGAAAAGTTTTACATGATGCTCCCATGAATCCATGGGCTGCTCATGGGATGTTCCTGGCCGTGGGGTCAATGACTCTCAGCCGAGTGCTTTCCGTCAAGGAAAACTTTCGGTTGTGTCATGATGTGGGCTGTCCAAGGGTTGAAGTCGTAGGACTTGGGTCACCCAACCCTCATCTGATGCCAGTCTGGTATCAGAACGGACACCCTTCTAGCACTGGCGTAGGCCGTCCATCGTAGGGTGTTCTTGCGCTGTGTAGACGCTCGTAATGGTCCGTAGTACTTCGCCAACTCATCAGCATCGTCTCACTTTACGGCAATTCAATATTGGCTAGGTATACGACAACCTGGTCCCGGGAACGCCAAATTGTACACAGCTGTTACCTGGTGCATGCTTAATAGGGTATGGGCTACGGTATAGGACATGCCGCAATAAGCAATAATATTCAGGAACTCACGATATTGACGCATTCCTCAGAATCAGCAGCGCAATTACGCTGAACGAAACTGTAGCAGGGAAGGCAGTGAATGTCCATTCTGGTGCCCAGCTTCGTAATATTGACATGCTCCGTATGCATTGCATTAACATGTACAAGACAATTCCAATTTCCCTTTCTTTCCTTCACAGCCATATCGGCTCAATCAACGGCCCCTGGTGTATGTATTCCAGAGCTTCGAGAGGTAGCCGCCCTGCTCAGACTGCTCCAACCAACTCTGCCGACGAGCAGCCACGCTAGGATCAGTGGCATTCCGCTTCGTGCTCGTCAAGCCTTCAAAGAGACCTGTGCTTGACCGTCTCCGCTCCCCGCTCCCATTGCGTGGAGGACTTGCTCCTTTGGCAGAAGCGTTGGACGACTCGGATGATGTTGAGTCCTATGCACGTTAGCACTGAAAGGACACAAAACCAGAGTTGATGACGAGAGAAATTGTTTGAACGGTAGTTTCTAAGAAACCTGTCAGACGTACATGTCTGTCGTTCATATCGGTAGAGGGTCTTCTACCGGGCAGCGTTTGGATAGCGCCGCCTCTAACCCAGACATTGAGTTGTTCGTAGCGGTCACCTACAGTTCCGTGCCAGTGGCGTTTTGGGGGTTCGGACCCGTTGTTCATTTTGGATTAATTGACTGAGGTTTGCGAGAAGTTGTTGTCAAGATAATGGTTCCTAGTAAGTGTGATAAATTAGGCAACGCTCCAGTATCAATCAACAGTGCTATTCTTGGAATTAAGAGCAATCAGAGCGAGGTGATCTAATAAATAGTAACAGCTTCAGAAATGTCTAGAGAAACCCAATGAATAATCAAGATGTCTCACAACCTTCCGGGGATTACAAAGATGACAAACGGAGATACAAGAAGGATATCACTCACTTTTCAAACGTTATGAAAGGTTGTCTGCTCATCTTGTGAAAGACCATGACTGATTGGTGTATATATAGCCGACTCTTCCTGCCTGGCCAAGGGAGGCGTCTCCAGGCGAGAGGGGTAAGCTACCTACCTACCCTAAAGCAGTGAAACAAACTCTGCTGGGATGATGTATCACTGCTTCTCCATTGTCTTTCAGGAGCTTGATTGGGGCAAATAAGAAAATGTATTGATCCAATGGTGGCTCGCAGCTGGTCATCCTTTGAGAAATTGGTGTCGACAAAGGATTGGTACGATGATTCATCGTCTTCGCAGAAGCGTCCAGGTCTGCTGATGGCAGCACTGATGGACATGCTCTAGGCGAATCACCGCTGAGGGATGATCATCCCATGCTCAGTCAGACTCCGGAATTCGGTTCACCAGAAGCGAGTCTCGATGTCAAAGACAGCAGAGTATCTGCCGTCGTCGAGGTGATCTCGTGAGGGCTGACGTCAAGAGTCCTTCTTGATGCGGGGACCTCGCCGGTTCATCCATGGAATCATATTGAAGGGAACGGACTCAATTGCAGAGGGAATAGACGTCCATCTGATAAAGTGATCCATTGCGTCTCATGCCGATTGATAGTTGATGCTGTTTCTGACTGCGATAAGGATTCATCGAACTCCTTGTCTCAGATTGGATCAGGAGCATACCCATTTAGATGCCTCAGGCACCAATCGGCGTCCAGTTCTGGCGCCGACGCGGAATGTTGATACTTTCCCCGCAAAGACTGGCCAAACTGTCGGCTGCCCTGGATGTCGACTCCATCTGGTTGGCTCTCGCGTCGCTTTTGCCGATGAGCTCACATCGATCTTGGCTCATATCGCTTCGAGATTCGTTCTCTTGGATGTATGCTTCCCTAGTAGCTCAGCTGCTCAGTTATCAGATGGCTTATCATCGCCATGCTGGGGGAATCCCCACTGATCGGCCACGTTATATATAATGGTAGCCAGATGTCCTATCAATATGATCCATGAAGGCAAGAAAACGCACCCAAAACATAACAGGAACTGGGTTGAGAATCACAGTTCGACATGGAAACCATTCGATCTCCGTATCTGAAGTCTCTCGCCCACCGAGGCTATGTCCAAGGTGTTACCATTACGTCGAAAGCTACAAACACTCCCCTTTGTCGCTTCTTTGGTGGCATTCGCTACGGCTTAGCTCCTTCTCGGCGATGGCGTAGAGCCCAGAGACTGCCTTCGGATTACGCCTATGGCACCCGGGATCAGCCCGGTCAGTGTGACAGGCTTTCAGGCGTCTGTCCACAACCTCCGTTTATGAACGTTTCCTTTAGAGATGAGTGGACCGAGGATTGCTTCCAGTGTAATGTGTGGGTTCCTGTAGCCGAACCTCCCAAGAAAGGTCCGTCAGCGAAGACCTATGTACCATCTTGAACACCGTCCTGACTGGTTGGCTGACAGCGGACAGGATGGCCTGTTTTCGTCTTTATTCGTAAGTCTTCTATAGCTATCATAAGTGACAGATCATACTCTTGATGGATATTGTCTTAACCCTTTCCGCGTCTTAGACGGCGGCTTTCTCCAGTTTGGTACGCCAAACACCTTCTCGGCGGCAGCTTTTCTGGGTGAGACGGACTTCAATGCCGTCATAGTCATGCCTGCATATCGTCTAGGGGTCTTTGGTTTCCTTTCTTCTTCCGAGATTGGACAAGACGCTGGCTCTGTAGGAGAGACTGTGGGAAACCATGGCTTCTGGGATCAGCGTCTAGCGCTAGAGTGGACCACAGATAACATCGCTCTCTTTGGGGGCAACCCGTTGCAGGTCACCATATCTGGTTATTCGGCTGGTGAGTCTCCTTCAATCTCTCGAAGATCCATCCTCATTCCTTGTGTACCAGGAGCCTACTCGGTATTCTATCAGCTGGCCTACGATCTAGAACTCCCTCCAGAACAATCTGTTGTAAAACAAGCTTGCATCTGGTCCAACTCGCCCGGCGTCCAGCCCAAAAACGAAGCAGCAGCGCAGCTCCAATTCAACCAGCTTCTCTCCGCCCTCAAGATCCCCGCGTCCCTGGCCTGGACAGAGAAACTGTCCCGTCTCCGCTCTATCCCAGCAAGGACCCTGCTCGACGCAGCAACCAGCATCGAGCTGCACCAGTTCCGCCCAACAAGCGACAGCACCTTCATAGACCCATCTCTCTTCAAGTCCTTGGACAACGGCACCTTCGCCCGCAAGCTCGCAGCCCGAAACATCCGAGTCATGCTCGGCGAATGCCGCGACGAACAATCCCTCTACGCAACATGGCACCCACCACAGAGCAACACCCTGCAATCCCTCCACCGCCGTCTCCTAGCCGACTACCCCCGTCACATCGCCGACGCCCTAATCAAAATCTACTGTCCACACGGTCAACTACCCCCCGGCTGCGAGAACTGGCACACCGACGCCTTCGGCCTGATCTACGCCGACATGCAGGTCCACAAGACGCAGCGCGGGCTCATCCACGCCCTCGCCGCCGGCAACGCAGGCCATCTCCTCTACCGCTACCGCATCGAGAAGCGGCTGCGGTGCGCGGACCGGACGATCCCGCCCTCGTGGGGTGTCACGCACGCAACAGACCAATACCTCTGGTTCTGGGGCAACGGGGAGGCGCTGCAAGCGGACGAGAAGCCCATGGTGCGGGAGGCGTTCATCGACCCGCTCACCAGGTTTGTCCGGGGCGATGCGGATGCGGATATCGGCTGGGGAACGGGGGATTACCGGCAGTTGAGGACTCTCAGGCCCGATGGGTCGGTCCAGATCTGCGAGGACTGTCTGTGGGACGAGGCCATGCGGGTCTGGAGGGCGTTGCGAGAAGTGGGGGAGCCCGACGGCGGCGCTACGTCTGCGAAACTCTGACGAAGCAGCAAGCATCGTTGGACGTTAATCCATGTGCTGTATACACGTCCATCTGTGACTTGACTTTGTGTCTGGATTGGACTACCCAGGCCTGCCAAAGTAGTATGACACGACTTCATATTCCGCTACACTTCGAGTGAGATTGTGGAAGTTGAAACGGCACCTTCATTGTGCTCAGAAATAGATTCCTTGACAGACATAGAACCAACCGACAATAAAGCCCAACCCAAATTATAAACGCTCTAAGGAGACATCAAAAGCCATTCCCATTTTCGTATCTCCATCCAAATAAGCCGTGTACGGGCCCGTATACAAGACGATACAACATCATTCATTCGTAATTTCGATCTACGCCTTGGCGATCTTACAGATGAGGTCCTGGCCATCGACGGAATCGCCTTCCTTGACGAGCAGGCCGGAGACCTTTCCGCTGTGAGGAGCAGAGATAACCATTTCCTAATAACTCCATTAGCTTGTTTGACATCGTAACATTTGGGCAAGAAAATGCAAACTCACCATCTTCATGGCGCTCAGAACGGCAACGGGGTCACCCTTCTTGACCTCCGAGCCCTCGTGGACACGGATTTCAACGACGACACCGCTCATGGGAGCACCGATTTGGCTACTGTCGCCAATGTCGGCCTTGGGGCGGGCGGTGTTGTCGACAGAGGCCTTGTTGTCGTCAACGGTGACCTGACGGACCTCACCATTGACCTCATAGAAGACTTCACGCTGACCGGTCTGCTCGGACAGGGGGCCGATAGCCAGCAACTTGAGGATCAGGACCTTGCCCTGCTCCAGCTCGACGTGGAATTCCTCGCCGATCTCGGGCTTGGCCAAGAAGTAGCGGGTCGGCAGGATGGAGAGATCACCAAACTTCTGCACGAACTTCTTGTAGTCCTCAAAGACCTTGGGGTACATGGCGTAACTGGCCACGTCGTACTCGGTGGCTGAGCCATACTTCTCCCGAATTTGGTTCTTGATCTTGGCCAGGTCCAGAGGCTCCAGGTAGAGACCGGGGCGCTTGTCGAGCTTGCGGCGGTCACGCAGAGCCTTGGATCGCAGAGGCTCGGGGAAGCCACCGAAGGGCTGGCCCATGAGACCCTCGAGGAATTCAAGGACAGAGCCGGGGAAGTCCAGCTCGCCAGCACGGGCGATAACGTCCTCGGGAGTCAGCTTGTTGGAGACCATGAACTGAGCCAGGTCACCGACAACCTTGGAGGTGGGGGTGACCTTGACAATGTCGCCGAGCAGGTCGTTAGCCGCCTCATAGGCTTTCTTGGTCTCGGCCCACTGCTGCCCCAGGCCGAGCTGACTGGCCTGGAAGAGGAGGTTGGTCAACTGGCCACCGGGAATCTCGTGCTCGTAGACCTCAGGGTCGGGGCCGGTCAGACCAGCCTCGAAGGGCGAGTACAGTAAGCGCAGCTGTTGCCAATAGGAGTCGATGGCCCGAACGTGGGCCCGATTGAGCTTGGGGTCGTGCTCGGTACCCTCGAGAGAGGCAAGGATAGCACCAACGCTGGGCTGAGATGTCATACCGGACATGCTGTCGGTGGCGGCATCGACGGCGTCAGCACCGGCCTGAGCGCAGGCAACCATGGAGGCCACACCGGTACCGGCAGAGTCGTGGGTGTGGACGTGGATGGGAAGGTCGGGGTAGCGCTCACGGATGGAGCCAACCAGCAGGCGCGCGGCCTGGGGCTTCAGCACACCAGCCATATCCTTGATACCAAGAATATGGGGGTTGAACTGGACAATCTTGTCCACCAACGCCAGGTAGTACTCGAGGTTGTACTTCTTCTTGGGGTTCAACATGTCTCCGCTGTAGCAGATGGTAGCCTCGACGACACCCTCGGCGGCCTGCACAGCCTTGATACCGACCTCGAGCTGGTCAACGTCGTTGAGAGCATCGAAAACACGGAAGATGTCGACACCGCACTTCTTGGCCTGCTTGCAGAAGTGGTAAATGGCGTTGTCGGGAAGAGATGAGTAGGCGACACCGTTGGCACCGCGAAGCAGCATCTGGAAGGGAATGTTGGGCACGGCCTTACGCAGCTTGCGCAGACGGTCCCAGGGGTCCTCGTAGAGGAAGCGCATAGCGACGTCGAAGGTGGCACCACCCCAGCATTCCAAACTGTAAGCGTTGGCGTACGCGTAGCTGGTCTCCTTGGCGATGTTCAGCAGATCGATCGTGCGGACACGAGTAGCCAACAGCGACTGGTGGGCATCACGCCAGGTGGTGTCCATGATCAAGCAGCCCTTGTTGGCACGGATAGCCTTGGCAAAAGCAGCGGGACCTTCACGGTCGATGATCTGCTTCCAACCGTGGGTGCAGGGAACGCTCACGTCAATCGGCTTACCGGCGGCGTCCAGCAGTGTAGGCTTGATGATATCGCCCTTGAGCTTGGGCTCACCGATCTGGCCCTTGATGCTGCTGCCGTTGACGGCGACATCACCCAAGTAGGCAAGAAGCTTCTGAGCACGGTTCTGGCTGCCGACAAGAGCGAACAGCTCGGGAGTGTCATCGATGAAGGTGGTCCAGCACGTGCCATCGATGAAGGTGGGGTGGCTCAGCAATGAGGTGAGGAAAGGAATGTTGGTCTTGACACCGCGAATACGGAATTCAACCAGGGCACGCACGACCTTGCGGCGCGCAATCTCGTATGTGGAACCACGGCAGGTACACTTCACCAGCATAGAGTCGTAGTGAGGAGTGATGATGGCACCAGCGAAACCATTGCCGCCATCCAGACGAACACCGTTTCCACCAGCGGAACGGTAGACTTCGATCTTGCCGGTATCGGGCCTGAAGCCGTTGGCCGGGTCTTCGGTGGTGATACGGCACTGGATGGCGAAACCGCGGGTGGAGATGCGGTCCTGGGTCAGGCCCAGCTGCTCCAGAGTAGCACCGGCAGCGATTTGGATCTGAGCGGCGACGATATCGATGCCGGTGATTTCCTCGGTGATGGTGTGCTCGACCTGAATACGAGGGTTGATCTCGATGAAGTAGTAGCGGTTCTGCTGGTCAACCAAGAACTCGGCGGTACCGGCATTGCGGTAGTTGACCGACTTGGCCAGCTTCACAGCATCGGCCAAGATGCGGTCGCGCACATCGGTAGGCAGATCCTTGGCGGGGGCGATCTCAACGACCTTCTGGTGACGGCGCTGGACGGAGCAGTCACGCTCGAACAGGTGGATGACGTTACCGTGGTTGTCACCGAGAAGCTGGACTTCGATATGCTTGGGGCGGTCGAGGAAACGCTCGACGAAGACGGTGCCGTTACCAAAGGCGGAGCGGGCCTCGGAGGTAGCACGCTCAAAGGCGTCCCGCAGATCGGCCTGGTCGCGGACGACACGCATACCACGACCGCCACCGCCGAAGGCAGCCTTGATGATGATGGGGAAGCCATAGGTGTCGGTGAAGGCCTTGACCTCCTCGTAGCGCTCCACGGGACCGGGAGTACCAGGGACCACGGGAACGCCGCACTTGATGGCCAATTGACGGGCAGAGACCTTGTCGCCGAGCGCGTCGATGGTTTCCGGAGTGGGGCCCACGAAGACAATACCGGCCTTCTCAACCTTGCGAGCAAACTCGGCGTTCTCAGACAAGAAGCCGTAGCCGGGGTGAATCAGGTGCACACCATGCTCTTGAGCAATCTTGACGATCTCATCGATGGCCAAGTAGGCAGCGACGGGGGTATATTGACCGCGACGACCGATCATGTAGGCCTCGTCGGCCTTCTGGCGGTGCATGGACAGACGATCCTCATACGAGTAGATGGCGACTGTCTGCAGGGAAAGTTCGTGGGCGGTACGGAAGATACGGATGGGAATTTCACCACGGTTGGCGACGAGGATCTTTTGAAATTGCATGATGGCGGAGTTGGCACGTAGCCGGCGATGGACCGAGTCTCTGTGGTGCTCATGATGATCATCGATGAACTCGGTGTCATCGACCGCCTCCTCGGGCTGGCGAAAGGGAGCAGCCATGGTCGGCAAATGTGCGATGAATGAGGAGGGAAAGTGATTCAATCAGCTGGCCAACTAGTTGCCGCTGCTGCTGCTGGTGACACCAGCGATCAGTAGTTGTAGAAGATGAGAGAGCGAGCCAAAGAGGGGAGGAGAGGGGGGAGACGATGGGGAGTTGTAGCGGAAGAAGAGGTTCAAACAAGTGAGGTCCGGGACAAGAAGAGGAATGTTAGAAAGCTGGGGAGATTTAAGTTTGAGACGGAGACACGAGTGATGGCGAGCCACGAAGAAAAAAAGGAAAGGAATAAGTAGGAAAATAATGAGTCACCTTGGTGGAAGAGGAGGAGAGATCAAGGGAAGCTTCCCGCGGGGCTGCACAAGAAGCAAGAAAAAGGACCGGTTTCGGCAGCGAAGGAGATGAGCGGCCAGAACAGGAGGGGCGGGAAAGGTTGGAACGACTCCACGGGTGGAATAGGCGAGGCAATGGTCAATGGGGATATAGTTGGAGCTTGTAAAGAATTGATGCAGGGATGACTTGCGATGAATTGATCAAGAGCAGCAACAGAGGAAGCTGATGAAAGGATGAGAAGCGAAAGTGATGGAAAGACGTTGTTGATAACAAGGAGCGGGGGATTTTGGACGGTGATAAGAAGGATCTACTGCCTGAGGCCAATAATGATAATACTACCAGAGGTATCTACACCTAACAATCATATTTATGAAAATACTGTCTGCTGTATTTGTATCCTGATGATGCAGAACTATGGAGTATCTAGATACAAAAAGAATAAGTATCACAAATGCTACTCTGATCGACCTCTTGGAAGTCTTGGATTTAGCTCACCGGTACACCGGGCAGCGGGGGATTCCATGGATATCCCGTAGGCTTTTTCCCCTTTGTACAAATCGTTGTACAAATCGTTTTACTCTACTGAAAATCAGATACTGGACTATCTATCGACATTCAGCCAGCAGAATTATCCGCTCGACCGAGCCATTGGTGGATGAAATATTAGTTAGTTAATTGATTT